TTTAATTCCCTGAGATTTTGGGAATTCTCAGATTTGGGAGTTCTTTCCCAAAGAGCTAGAGTTAATGAATGAGAGAGGGCCGGCTGTGTATGGAATTGGAGGTGGGTTTGTTTCTTAATTCCAGGTCAGGCTTTAGGAAAGAATTTAAGAGGTGGGGCATGAGGGGGGTTTTGGCCAACAAGAACCAAGGAGCAATTAATGTGGAAATTTAAGGCTCATTGATTTAGGAACTTTCGAAATCTGAATTTAATTTCAGTTTTGATTTAAATTGGGGGGAACTTAATTTGAAATTTCATTTTAAATTAAAAGGTCATTAATGCTTTAATTGAGGAATTAATGGGAGGAAAGCCTCATGGTGGCCGGCGGCATGTAGAGAGAGAGGGAGGGGGTTTGGGCAAGGTTTGGGGAGTTTCCAAAGAAGAAAAATGTATTAGGAAGGTTATGACTAAATCCAAATACTTTGAATTTAAATTTGAATCATGCATAACACTTTCCTAAATAAGAATTTCCAAATTTGGAAAGAATTGAAATGCAAAATTTGAATTTCAAATTTGAATCAAATCCTTTCTAATTTCTCGTAGGGTGAATTATGGAAAGCCATGAAGATATTGAGATTACCGTCATGGGGGAAAAAGGTGGGGTTTCGGGTGAGGCTAGAATCCGGCGGCCAAACGAAGATGGGGAGGAGGAAGAAGATGAAGATAATGACGAAGAGCAATAAGAAGGAACAAAAGCAAATAAACAAAATATCAAAGATACAACCGCGAGCTCGGACGCATCCTGCGGCTGACGGGTACTACGTTGCCCTTCTCCAAGGGACTTCACGCCACGAGCCCAGACCCATCCTGCGGCTGGTGGAAACTCCGACTCCCTCCCATAGGGATTTCACTAACGTTCTTCCCAAAGAACCCAAGTGCAAAACGCAAATTTTTTTTATTAATAATCCATCATCCAAATACAAGAGAAGAGACCTCTATATATAGGCCTCAAGAGAAATTAAAAGACACATTCGCCCCTTGGGCTTACATAAGACAAGAGGGTAAAAAGGGAAATTGCAAAACTAAATTAAAATACAATTAATAAACGAAAATAAAACAAAGTGATCTCGGTCGTCGATCTTCAGCTCCTCCCGGATTAGCATGGACGGTTGGATGTCCGCATCAGAAAGCAAATTTATAATGCTACACTTTTAGATCAAATGTTTAGAAGTGTCTATTTATTAAGTGGAATGTTAGAAGAAAGGAAATAAATATATAGAAGATGAAATGTTAAAAATTAGTAGAAAAAGGCAGAATATAATATACAATTTAAATGGGTTTGATTTTGCTAACTATCAGTCATTATTAAAAGAAGAAAAAGTGATCAAAACATAATAAGTTTAAGTACTGATATATAAAAGAATGGCTATTGAGATAAGAAAACTTCTCCATTATTCTAAAGGATTTCCTACAATGCGAAAAGATTGAGAATGATAAAAGTTTAGTGATTAAAATATATAATGCCTTAGAAATATTACAAAATAAGAAAATATTATAGATGCTCAAGATAATTTTTATAAAATTGCAACTATACCAATTACACTGTTTGGATCTAAATATTGGGGATAAAAAAATCATTCATATACAAGTGTGAAAGAAATGAGAGTAAGATGATTTGAAGCAAAATAGTGTGGAAGAACATCAATCATGTACTAATTTGATGATGGGCCCTGACCACCAGGATTGATCTTAAATTCCCTTGACATTGATTCTTTTCACATTGAACTAGCTCTTAATAAACAAAGAAATGAATTAGATTGTAAAGAAAGAATTATAGTGAGGCATAGGAAAGCGAAAGGTGGTTATCACCGCAAGTGAGAGATGGAAATCATGGAGAGTTCAAATTTCAGGAAAGAAGGAATCTCATGAAAGAAAAAAATAATTAGGAGAGAGAGGGGATCTCATCACCGGGGCTCGTAGAATTTGAATTGATCCATTTATTAGCATGGACGTTCGAGAGAGTTGAAGTACTAAGTAGCAGATAAGTCACCTTGTCATAGTTCATGGAAGATTTTCTCCGCAAAGAAGAATTTTGATATATTCTCATAACATAAATTTCTTTGGTAGCTTCCTAAATTTCATTGGAAGTAGAGTAAGAAATTCTCTTCTATCACAATAGCCAAGGAGCTAATAAATCATAGCATCGCCATATTGTTTTTTTATTTCCACTTGTAAGTTAAATCTCTTTTTTTCTGGTGTAGGGGTTGATCCAATCAGATAGTAATCTTTGCCTCTACCATAGATGAACATAATCACAGACTGTGACCACTGGAGATGGTTGTGGTCATTAAGTTTGATCCTGTGACTGGAAGAAGTTTGCTATATGCCATGTTGGTTAGCCGGGAGACAAGCACCTTAGGTTCAAAGGTGACTTCCGACGAGGAGGATAGTCCTCCAATAGCTATTTCATATACTGTCATATGGATGACAAGAACATGGGTTAAAATAACACGGTTTCTTATACCATGCAAAAACTGAGAACGGAAGAAGAGGAAAAAAATTTTACTTATTTGAATTCATTCAAAACTGTTATACAAATAGAGCTAATAAAATAGTAATAATACAGTTTTAATAGGAAACAAACTAAAACATGATTTCAGAATTCAGGAACATAGAAAATAGGAATGAAAACAGTGCAAAGATGGACTCAACGGCAGCAGTAATCAGGGTTGAATTCCCCACATCAATGTGATAGTTTATGGATGGGAAACTCCATTAAGTCTACAGTAATAATGGACAGGAAATCAGGGTACATGATACTGCTAAATGCAACTTTCCAAATGGGTTTTATTCCACACACTTTTCAACAAAACCTGAATCAAACATCCCTCTTGATCCACCACATGATTTGAACCAAATATGGGCATGGGCATGACTTCCAACAAGATTCAAGGGTAATTTGTAAGCTGGCCACCCTACAGAATGCATAGTCATACATCTTGGCATAATTGACAATAAAGGTGTAGCCTAAATCTCATGCAAAAGTCACCCATGTCTGTAGGTGATGGGGACATAGGAGTTTGAAAAGTTTATCAGAGGTGTGGCCGCCGATCTACGGCCACAATCACGCCGATATATTTTTAAGTCTTCATATGTATTTGTTTTTATTTATTTGTGTTTGTATTTGCTTTAGTTGTTTTCCCTCTTTTACCCCTTACTTAAGGGTGGTCATGTGTAAGCCCAATGGGCAAAGTCGTCTTTTATTTTTCGTTCATTGTATGAGGCTATATATAGCCCTTACGTTCTCTTTTGAATGTTAATGAATGAATGATAAAATTTTCTACCTTAAGAGAGTTTGGGAGAGAAATTCCTTGGAGAGGGAATCGTATCACCCACCAGCCTTGAAAGAGTCCGGGCTCCTGGTTAGTTCTTCGTATCTTGTCTTCCTCCTTTTCCCTCGCCCCTTTCCACCCCACGAACTACCCCACCCAAACCGCCAACTCTTCAAAATCCCACTCCAAGCCGCTGACCACCCCCACAAAACCCCCACCGCCGGCCAACTACTAGCCCCACCCTTGGTCGTTGGCTAGCCCTCCAAACCTCCATCCTCCACCCACGGCCCATCCATCTAGCCGCCGCCCCTCTTCCCCTTGTTTCCAAATTCACAATTCCATAATTACTACTTTCCTATTCTACATGTATTCTTTTGGAAGATGATAATTTCAAGCATTCCAAATCAAATTTGAATTTGAAACGTTTCCAAAAATAGAATTCTATTTTTAGAAAGTTTTCAAAATCAAATTCAAAATTAATTTGATTTGGATTGGAATTAAATCATATATCCTAATTAGAGAATTCCAATTAGGAAAGCATTAAACTTTGTTTAATTTACCCAATCCCCTCTCCCTAAGCCACCGGTCCCCCTCTTGGTTCCCTATGGAATTATTTCCAAAAGGCAAGCTTCTCTTTTGGAAACAATTCAAACCCTCTCTCACTCACTCCTAGCCGCCCCTCCCCTTTCCTAATTGCATCTAAATCCTTTCCAAGTTAAAGGATTAATTAGGGAAACAATTGCTTGATTTCCCTCCACCTTCCTTCCTCTAAAATATGAACCTAATTCTCCCCCACGCTCTCACCCTTGGCCGGCCACCTCTCTCCCTCTTTCCCTCTTGAATTCTTGAGATAATCTCCTCCCTCTCGAGAGGACTCCTTAAGGGAAATCCAAGACCTTCGTCTACAATACTACAACAAAGGAATAGATGAATGGTCGATCCCAACCTTGACTCCGGCCTCGTCTAGAACGAGCAAGGAAACGCGGAATTCTCCAATCTACGTTCTTCGACATCGACCCGGAGATTGATGCTTCCGCCGACGAATACCTAGATCGAATCACTTCATCTTGTCCGAAGTAATCGAAGAGCAACTTGCCAACGTTCAGTGGCAAACCACTTCCGGTCCTCGACAAGGGTGAACTTCTTCCCCTATTCAACTTATCTTCTAATCCTCTGCTCTTTTGTGTTATGATTCAAGCGCAAGGATTTGTACAAAGGAACTTCTTGGTGATTCAAGTCAAATTAAAATAAAATTTAAATATAATTTTAAACATTGATTCAAGTTCTTAGCATGTGATTTGGCCTAAGCATAGCCGCTACTCTTTAGTTTTCTATTATTGTTTAGTGGCTAACAGTCTTAATTATTATTTGCTCATATTCAAAAATGTTCAAGTTCTTATCACATTCATTTAAATTATATTTAGTCCTGCATCAGTAGGATTGGCACTTGGAGGGATGGTCAAGCTATTATGCATTGAAAATAATTTGTAAGATAGCTCTACAAGTCCTCCAAATTGTTAAAAATATCCAAAAAAAGGCAGTAAAGGGTAACTCTTCAATTCAGACAACTGATATTAAATATTTAATATGAAGAATTCAGATGTTGAAAAATGGATCTCCGAAAGTATTGAGATACTGGAAAAGTTGAAATCTACAGAATTACCTCAAATATTAAGGGAAACAAACTAAGCAGTGGATCAGCTTCCTCACTGATCCCTCCAAGAGAACTGCAGCACTGTGAAAATGGGTCTCTAGCTGATACTACACTGCAGCCATGAGAACTCAAAACCAAATTTTCAGGGCAAAACTTTCCAATGATCTTTAATAGATACCCACATTTCTCCCACAAAAAGCTCATGTCGAACTCAAGAAACTGCAAGATCTTCAAACAACACCTCAGCAGAACTATAAATCCTTCTATTGTGCATTGGACCTTTGAATTGAGTCCAGAAACTCCATCTAATGGACATCTCAGGAAAAAATTTAAATTTTCAAACTGTCTGAGCAATTCTTTAAAAATAACATTGGAAACTTCAATAAGATGACCAGACTTCATTTTTGCAAAGGATAAATTGACGGATTGTAACCTCCCTTCTCCTTGCCCTCGCAACTCATCAGCGCACAATCCTTCTAGCAACCAATGGAAATTTTGCAGATCTTCCTCCATAGCTATTTAATCACTTTGATCATTTGAATCATTGACACATCAGATGACCAAATCATTACATTGATAAAAAAGACTAAACAAATTAGAAAAGTTAGAAGAACCAATGAAACATAACATGATATACAAAAAGCAAACCAATAAGGGCCAACATAAACATGGAAATCAAGGTGGAACAAAATGGATTAACCTATTACAAAATAATCTCTTAATAGGATTTGAAGTAGAATCTGTATGAATAAGATGTCGCTTTAACCTGAAACTTGTACGAAAAATCTTCGGTGATTGCATGTGTAAGTAATTTAAATTTAAAAGAAGAGTAAAAGGAAGGAAAACACCCATTTTCTTCTTTACCTTTTGGGTGAAAAGAAAGGAGAAATCTACAGTGGTAATGAGAAGATTGCGCCAAGCAACCTAAGATAAAAGATCATAAAATCTAGTTCGGGAAAGAAACTGTTATCTATTCTTGCTATGCATTAGAGGACGACAAAAAGAAAAACATGATCTTTAAAGGTTATTCTGTGAAGAATTTACAAATTTTGGAAATTTTATAAACTTAAATAAAAATAGGTGTGAAAAGAGTGTTGTATGTAAGAATAAAAAACCCATGCAGGGATTCTTATTGGATTCTTATAAGAATAGGTTCGTAACCTTTCATGGTGTGTTTAGCATTTTTTGTAAGAATGCTAGAACATGCTACATTTGAAATAAACTCATTGGTGATGGTTCAAGCCTTGTTATGATCGAAGACTTTATCATGGCATAACCGAATGAGAAAGTCAACTTCTTAAAAAAACTTCCCTACTGTCAAGACCCAGCTCGGAGAATTAAATTAACGAGGCGGGAACAGAGGGTCGGAAAGTTAATTAAAAATTTGATCTGCTAAAACTAATTCTCATATATTGAAAGAGCCACTAAACATCAAAATATTTTAAAAGTAAATGCTATAAATACATTTCTCTCGAAGCGACACGCCTACGAAACACATCCTAACATCTTCTATTCATTTAAGCTCTTTAGATTATAGGAGTGAACGTTTGTAATGAAAGAGTGAGTCACCACTCAGTGAGTACATCATGCTTCAAAATTATAGTAATTTAAGACATTTGGGAATAATATGCATGTTCATTTCAAAACATAAAGAAATTATATTTAAATCTTATTTTGAGCATGCCATCAATGTTATCCATATCTATACGCTTCACATATATCATATATTTATCATTTCTATAAGTTATACAACCGTCACAAGAGACATCGTTTAAAATAGTACCAATGAAGGTACGCATTTTTCATAACCTTTTTTTTCAAAATATTTTCCATTTTATGTGTGTGGGTACATTACATCGTCAACTAGTACCATAAAAGGGTGTCCTACATCAGTTAACAGAACATGCAAGCATATCTATATAGCATTTTCATTCACATAACATTTATAGTAATGTAAACATAACATACTAATTATTATCAAATCCAAAATGATCAATCATTGGGAACGTGAAAGATAAATTATGATTTAACTTGCAATAAAGACTAAATATGCATGTGTCAATATTCATAGATGCAATTTGAAGAAATTGTTTAGAGGAAAATTCAAATTCTATTCTATTCTTTGGAATATATATATATATATATATATATATATATATATTCTAAGAGAATAAATATAAAAAAGAGAATAAATAGAAAAAGGAAAAACACTTAATCTAATTAATTATAATAATCATATCCTAAGGATCTCCAACTGTAGCCCTCGAATTGTTGCCCAGTGCCCACAGATTGCCGACGTGGCCTACCCTTAGCTGTGTGATTCAACACTCCTCAAGTTGAGTTGTACAGGTTGTACAATACTAACATACAAACAAACTTATCGAGTAGAGAACCTGGTAGTGCCTTTGTTAGAATATCAACAAGTTTTTCATGAGTTGGGTATATACTAGTTCAATTTATGAGTTCTCTATTTTCTCATATATAAAGTGTCTAACAATAGTAACATGTTTTGTTCTATCATAATGTACTGGATCCTTGGCCATACTGATTGCGGCTTGATTGTCACATTTCAACTTTATCGTTCCTTCAATATTTATTCTCAGTTCAATTAATACTTATCTGATCCAAATACCTTCATAAAATAACTGATAATGCTCTCAATTCAGATTATGCACTGCTTCTGGAAACAACAGATTATTTCTTACTCCATATCACTAGGTTCCCCCACACAAATAAACAATATTACGTGATCGATCGACTGTCAACCTGGCTTCCTGCCCAATCTGCATCAAAATAAAGGAACAATTTTCTATCTTCATTTTTCTTGAATAATAGCCTCTTTCCATGAGTGTTCTTGAGATATCTCAAGATTTGATATACTGCCTCCATGTGCTCCTTCATTTGATTACTCATATATTGACTTACCATACTCACAGTAAACCTAATATATAAACGAGTGTCGGAGAGGCATATAAGCTTTCCTACCAGACATTGATATCTTCATTTATCTACTGAAACTCCCTCCTTTTTTATCCCAAGTTTCTTCTTAAGTGATCCTATATCTTTAACTTCAAACTTCTTGGACAAAGCCTGCTTGATCTTCATTATTTTCTCTATATCATTTCCAGTAAAGATATTCTGTCATCCACAAATGCAATCAATACTGCTACCTTGTCTCTTTCTGACTGCTTCACAAACAATGTATGATCTGCCTGACATTGTTTAAAACCATGGCCTTTAAATACTTTGATAATCTTCCAAACCATGCTCTTAGAGACTGCTTTAATCAATACAAGTATTTCAGTAATTACACACTTTATCTCTTCCATAAAACTTTTTAATCCCCATTAGAATCTTCATGTTGACTTATTATTTCAGGATCCCATTCAAAAATACATTCTTGATATCTAGTTGATGTAGGATCCAATCTAAATTTGAATCTAGGGAAAGAAGAATCATGATGGTGTTGAGCTTTGCAACATGAGCAAAAATTTCCTAGTAGTCTATTCCATAAGATTGAGTGAATCCTCTTGCAAAAGGCCATAATTTCTTCTTTAACATGTTGCCTCCATCCTGAGTGATTCAAAACTTCCTGAATATTGGTCGGAATATGTACATCATCCAACTTGGAAAGGAAGACTTGATAAGTCCCTAATAATCTACTATATGAGAGAGTTTTTTATTGGATGCTTGAAGCATGATTCTTTCTACCAATTTGATTACTCTATCTCTTTTTTAACTTTCTCATTTTTCTCCTCTGTATGAATTTCTGCAGTTGTTGGATCCATTGAAGTAGAGTTAACATGTGCAAGATGTGTCTCACTGCTCGGCATATAGTGATTTATCTTTCTTTTTCATGAGTATATATATTGTTGTTCCTTAATTGTTGCTCTTCGCAGGGATTTATTACAACTTATGGGTGGAGGTAAGAGGTCTAAAGGCGGAGTTTGAGATATAGGAGATATAACTTAAGAAATACTCATGGTTTGGATTTCTTGTGATATTTGTTGATTTTAACTGGACTCTGTTTGATTATGTAATAAGGAATTTCACTCCCAAGCTTGAAATTCTCCTTGACTCCCCCCCTGAATTTCAAAACTAGTAAAGTATGGGTTGTTATTAACCAAGCATGAGGATAGGCTTTGAGTAGAGTTTGTCTAGTTGTTTCAAATTTTAGTATCCAAGTAGGTAACCTATTTATTAGGTATGCAGTAGTAAGAATGGCTTCCCCAATAGATATTTTGATACTTTTGTGAATAACACAATGTTTAAAATTGTGTAATCCGGTATTGAGGCATTTTCATTCGTGAGGCGAGGCGTAAGCCTCAAGGCGTTTTGAGACGTAAGCCTCAAAATCAAAAAATTGCATAAACATAAAATGATAAATTTTTTATATACTAATAAATAAAATATATAAAACAAAAAAAGCACAACATATGAAGTGAAATCAAAATATCCCAACAATAAGACAATATGAAATTCTTCATTTGAATCAATATTATGATGAACTGCTCTCTCCCTTTCCTCCTCTCCTATAGAGTCCAATGTCTCTCAATCAAAGCATGCACTCAATAAGAAGCAAACTAACACTAAAAACTATTACTAAAGATGATAAATACAACAATATGCCGAGCAGCCGGGGGTTCAAGGGGGCGCGCTGCCCCCAGGCGGGTTTCGACCTGCCCGATCAGGTCACGGGGACAAGGGGTAATTTTAAAGTTCTGCTTATTTTTAAATTAATTTTACAACATTTTTTTTGTAAGAGTAATTTTGAATTACTGCTTATTTTTAAAGTTCGTAAGTCGTTTGTATGGAAAGATATTGAGCGGTAGTGAGCATGTACCGAGCATATACCAAGCAGTATCGAGCATGTACCTAGCGGTACCAAACATGTACCGAGCGGTAACGAGCAGTAGCGAGCATGTACCGAGTGGTATCGAGTGGTACCGAGCATTTTTTTTAATTTTAAGAGGCGGACACACCTGAACTCACTTGGATTATCCCTTAGCTTGATAGATATTCTCTCATGATAAAATAAAAGTACTCTCTCTGATTTTTCAAACTAGTTTTGAATCATCAGTTGAAATGAGAATGCCCTTTCAACTTCATATTTTTCTATCATTAAATAAACTCAAGTGAGTCTAGTATGATCATCAACAAATATCACAAACCATCTTGCTCCACTTATATTGTTAACTCTTCACTCTTCAGGGTCCCCAAATATCACTATGGATCAAGGCAAAGGGTTTAGAAGGTTCGTAAGAAACAATTGGGTACGATGATCTGATATGTTTATCCAATTGACAAGTTTCACATTTGTACAAACTTGGACTTTTATTAATAAAAAAATGGGGGAAAAGCTTTTCAATATACATGAAATTTGGATGACCTAACCTATAATGCCACATAATAATCTCTATATCTTGACTGAGTCTAGAATGACTCTCAACAAACTGACTTACAATAAGATGATTCTTAGGAGAAGGATTCTTAAGAGCAACAATTAAGGTTTGCATGAATTTGGGT